TTAGATCCAGAAAACCATGTCAATAGCTGTGTTGATGCTGTGATTAAATATTAGGAGACGAGTTGGCTACTATCTGACTTCCTAAGATATCAAATCTACACATTTTTTTATACATATGATAAACCTATATACCATGCCGTGATTTGTATGTATCATTAAAATGTTTTAGTGTCTGGTTTAATTTCGATAAAACGTGAAATCGTTTATTTGTTTTACGTTTAGAAGGTAATCCATTCTGTGTGCGATGATTCTTTAGACAAAACTGCACGGAACGTCATCAATACTGTTTTTAAACAAACATGTCAGTCCTGCGATAAAGATATAACCTCGGTCAAAAGCATGTGTCTGTTAAAGCCTTCGCCGTAATAAGAATTTTGCATGCCCTGGAAATGTACGCGCCTTACTACGCCCTCGTTATAATGAGGATGTGCCATGATATGACGAGTTCATTTTAAGTGGAATTCTGTAGAATCTATTTTGTAATCTCTATGTGACGACGCACGGAAATGAATTGATAGCTGAGGCGACACTTGCTAATTCATGCATGGTTTTGTGTACTTAATGGTTACAATTATATCAATATTACTGTTGATAGAAGTTCGGGATGAAGTCAGAAGGGTATACTGTAAAAACTACAAACCTGAACGAATAAGAGCGCCTTGTAATGGACCAACGCGAAAGTTTACATGGCTTGAAGTGTGATTAACGGAACAGGGAAGGCTTGTTCTCAATCCAAACACAGAAACGGTACACGATTTCCCACGTGTTCCTCCGTCTCGCCTTAAGTTGTCAAAACAACAATCAAGTTGATACAGTATCACTATGGATTCTGTCTGTGGACCTGCTGGGTGTTTATAAATAGCTTCGTCCGACCGTTCTCCAGTGGGAACAGGTGAATTTCTTCATAGGGATGCATACTGGTGATTTTCGTATACAAAACAAAAAATCGTGGTATGTATTAATGAATTAAACACGACGAACATGTAACACGTAACACGATCCAACATTGGGAAAATGTAGTCAAGCTGGTGAGCGAAATTATACTAACCTGCCGGAATTTATTGACATAATCAGAGTGTTACCTTGCGTTGTTAGGTGTGCATCTCCACTTCAAAAGAGTTCCTCACGGGTTAACTGTTACAACATATTGTAGATTTTATCTTTTCATTTCGGAAATCAAACATGCAGTGAATTTAAACACCGCAGAACATGTAGCTCATAAAGCTAACATATGATTTATCACAAAGCCTACGTTAATCTTAGTTTATATTTTGTCCTAGTTTATTGACTTTGAGTTAGGATTAGGATTTTGTAGACATGTTGGTATTTTCTCGCTTGTTTTTAGCAGTGCGCTGATCAGGATTATAAAACGACGTCTGAAACAAATCGATCGATTCTGGTGACGTGAACGAAATGTTTCACTCTCCGTTTCATTTCCGTACCTTCGTTTTGTAAATTCAGGAAAAGTTGTTCACCCTCATCAATAACACTGAGTTTCCGTGCTTTAAATGTTACTGATGACTTTAAGGAAAGTATTCCCTCTCCCTCTTCAGTTCCGTACCCTTATGTTTTGTTAATTTTTGAAGAGCTCGCCGCCTTCATCAGTATCACTGCCTTTATTTTAAATGTTACCTTATGACTTTAAGGAAATGATTCCCTTTTTCCGTTTCTGTTCTGTTCCGTTCCACTTACGAAGAGTTGAGTTTGGAGTTTGTAACGCATTGTGTTGGCTGTTTTCTGTTTAAATTCGGGATTGTGTTGGTGACCTTTGTTACTTTCTTGAGACAACTGAGTCATCAATAGTATCGATCATCCTTTATTGAAGGGGGAAGAGGATTCATTTTTCTTATATGTCCGCCCGTCGGGCCTCTTCCGTCCCGTCCGTTCCAGTCCCGTCGGGCCTGTCCCGTCCCGTCCGTTCCAGACTCGTCCCGTGCTGTCCCATTCAGAATCGGAATCATTTCTCGAGAACGTATCGACATGTTTTGTTTATAATTACTCCCATCTTATCATATTATTAAGCCCTACGCCTTATGTATAGTTGGTCATCGGTCAAGGCCAAAGGGTCAAAGGTTATATTTGACAACTTCTAAAAATATCAAACAATGATACTAAATACATAGGAAGGCATACATTTATGTCTTACATACATTTTCTGGGATTTTCTTCCCGATTGGACACATTGTATATCAGAATTGGTTTTCATTTAAATTGAAGTGTGACTCATTCTAAGTAAATTCCAAGACTCATTAAAGTATGACCTACATATATTTTAAAACTTTTGAGTACTTCCGTGTTAAGATTATTCTTAGTTAAAATTTCACGAAGTGAAGATGCTTTCTTTTCATGGAAACTTTAATACGACAAAACTAAATTTCAGTTAGTAATTTTAGCGTTTGATTTTTTTCTGTGACATGACTTGAAATAATTTCCTTTTATTCCACAGAGCCTGCCATATGAATCAGCTGTTGTACTTAGGAAAACCCCGGTCATGGAACAGGTAAGCATACAATGCAGTGTCATATACACATTATTATATCTTTGATCCAAAATGCATTCTGCAAAACTGACTCCAGGTTTTGAGAGTTAAATATGTCTGAAACCAGTTGAAAAAATCATGTTCTACAATCGCTGATACTATCGCTTCCTATTGGAGTCAATCAATATATTCATCAATCAACCGGAAGTGGTACGTCACACCCGGGAGACTCTCGGGACACCGGAACTTGTCATATCTCTAATGTTATGTTGTTTCAGTAGCGCTTTTTGATAATTGCCCAGGGGAGCGTTATAAAATCAGGATTGGCGATATAATGTGATGACAAGTTAGCAACACCGGAGATAGATACCGTCTTCCCTCCTTACACTGACTTCAATGTTCTAGTGAAGTGCTTATTTCAGCAATATATTGGATGTTGTTTAGAAGTGACGTGTGAGAGATTAGAACACAGAGTAGTTAATATCACATCGAAATTGTCTTCCTGCTTAACGTTGAAAACAAACCACAAATACTCAATCATAAAAAGGATAGACATTGGAGTACACCAAGTAAATGAATTATGTATGTGGTATGGAGGGAAGCTGGCACGTGCGTTGACCTGTGCCTCTCACGTGATCCTAGGTCATACTGTACTAGGACGATAATGTTAACATGGATTAAATAGTGAAATAGTTATATATAGCCCCGAGAATAATGTGCACTTTCTTCCAACGCCGACATGTTTCTGGTTTAGAAACCGCAAGTGGTATAATGATTGTATATAGCCAGCCGGGATCTCTGGCTCCTAACGAAACGTGTAGTGTGTAAGTCAGTGACTTCGGTATGACGAGCTAGACCGCAATAGAAAATAGCCGAAATATTTTCCCCAAAAAAGTATGCTGAAAAAAATGACGCTGTATAAAAAGGATGAACTGAAATGAATGAAAAATGAACCACAATAATTTGTACTTAGAACACAGTGCTCGAGAGGATTGAGCAAGAAAGTTGGATGTATTTCAATGGAGGTGTTGTATACATGCTGAAGTCGACAGACACTGATTCTAAGGCGCGATATCTTGACCTGACTTTTGATCGACAGCTTTTGGAACAAGCCATTCTGGCCGACACATTTGAGGCGGGCATGACATTTTGACAGAACGATTTCTGAAAACTTTCACTTTACCCGAAACGTTTTAAAGGAGCATGGCATTTTGAGCGACACATTTTAGGAGGACATGACATTGTACCCGGCATATCTTAAGGGATCATGACGTTTTGACCGACACATTTTAGGAGGACATGACATGGTGACCGGCATATTTTATGAGAACATAACATGATTTACCGACACAATTTAGGGAGACTAACATTGTACCCCGCATATCTTACGGGATCGTGACGTTTTGACCGACACATTTTAGGAGGACATGACATGGTGACCTGCATACTTTATGAGAACATGACATGTTTTACCGACACAATTTAGGGAGACTAACATTGTACCCGGCATATCTTAAGGGATCATGACGTTTTGACCGACACATATTAGGAGGACATGACATGGTGACCTGCATATCTTATGAGAACATGACATGCTTCACCGACACAATTTAGGAAGACTAACATTGTACCCGGCATATCTTAAGGGATCGTGACGTTTTGACCGACACATTTTAGGAGGACATGACATTGTGACCGGCATACTTTATGAGAACATGACATGCTTCACCGACACAATTTAGGAAGACTAACATTGTACCCGGCATATCTTACGGGATCATGACGTTTTGACCGACACATTTTAGGAGGACATGACATGGTGACCTGCATATTTTATGAGAACGTGACATGTTTTACCGACACAATTTAGGGAGACTAACATTGTACCCGGCATATCTTACGGGATCGTGACGTTGTAACCGACACATTTTAGGAGGACAAGACATTGTGACCGGCATATTTTATGAGAACGTGACATGTTTTACCGACACAATTTAGGAAGACTAACATTGTACCCGGCATATCTTAAGGGATCATGACGTTTTGACCGACACATTATAGTAGGCCATGATCCTCCGACTGACACGTTTTTAGGTCGGTAAACCATGGAATCTTGACGACAGCTGTTGATATTAAGATAAATCGACTACAAATTCATGCACTGCTATAATATCGAAACTTTTTTTCTGTTTTCTTCTTAGATTTGGTCGTTTTGAAAACCTGAAAAGGCTATGCAAATCTGTTTCGGATCACAATCCTCGTTTCCCTTTGGTTTTTTTTAAGCATTGATATCGAACGACTACAGGTTTTAATGAATTTCATTGAATGCGAGTGGATCATAACACTATTTATTTATCTATTCATCTGACGGGTTTTACATCCGCTATTAAAGCTCGGGCGAGGGATAACACAGCACAGTATCGTACATGTATACATGACTCGGTCTGCTATACGTGTTTTACTATAAGGTTAAGATGCTTGTGTTTGGGACCTTATCAAATCGTTCCCGTAATTATACTTCATTAGCGCTGAACGTCAACAAAAGGTCATTGATTTGCACCTATGCTATTACTAGGACAAACAAGGGGATTGCTTTAACCGGGATTAACATGGACTAGAAGTAACCTAACAGACACTTAGGTAGGGCTGTGAGATCGATATGTAGTATCGTCATATACTCACCACGAGGACAAAACTAGGGAGATTGGAGGCTACAGGTGAGTGATTGCGTACCTGTGATCTCATTTACTTTGTCGGAGATTGATCTGTGCACAACAGCAATGTAAATACCGCTGTAATATACTGCATGTATCACAGTGGAGATAACAGGAACGGTTGTTCAGTCCGTGATGCCAATATCAGATCGGAACGAATCTCTCTCTCTTTTGATGTATAGAAAACAATTCTGACCAGTTATGTAAATAATGTATGCCGGGACCAGTTTGGATTTTGCATTTGATCCGTCTGGCAATTTCGACGACATGTGAATTCTCGTTATTGCCAATAATGGCTGATTTATATTTCATTTTCATCACGTGCTCCTTCTGTTTGCTGGATGTAAGATATCAACAGAGTCCCGGTATGAGTGTTGTAATGGTTTCTGGACTCGGTCTGAAGTATAGAATTATTTAATTCGTTGTTTTTTTTTATATCTCGACGACACGGACACGTGACTTGGGGGACACTCCTTATACAAGGTAGGACCGTTAATTATGAAATCTTGATATATCAGTCTTCAAGACTCAGAATCATTTGATGTACAGTTATACAGTATACCATATCCGTGATGTGTTTACCTTGACTTTGGCGAGCTCAGGTTTCGCAGTGTTCGGCGAAAAAAAATTGTAATTTATTTTTAAGCTACAAATGTATATAGAGTATGTAGTAATAGGACTGCCAATGGCACAAATAATAATTATATCGCGCTACTTAAAAAGGATAGAGGATTGTATGGATAACATCGGATACTCCTGTACTTATCTATTGGTAAACAACTGTCTATAAATACATTCATGTTCGGGTTTAAAACGTTGCAGAAGTAGTTGACATGCTATCTTTATGACAGTTTCCTTGTCCATGATCACAGTGATCATAACCCATGATAACCCATGATTACCCATCATAACCCATGATAACCCATGATAACCCATGATTACCCATCATAACACATGATTACCCATCATAACCCATCATAACCCATCATAACACATGATTACCCATCATAACCCATCATAACACATGATTACCCATCATAACCCATCATAACCCATTATAACCCATGATAACACATCATAACCCATCATAACCCATCATAACTCATTATAACCCATCATAACACATGATTACCCATCATAACCCATCATAACCCATTATAACACATGAGTACCCATCATAACCCATCATAACCCATTATAACCCATGATAACACATGATTACCCATGATAACCCATCATAACCCATTATAACCCATGATAACACATGATTACCCATGATAACCCATGATAACCCATGATAACCCATCATAACACATCATAACCCATGATTACCCATCATAACCCATAATAACACATGATTACCCATGATTACCCATCATAACACATGATAACCTATCATAACCCATGATTACCCATCATAACCCATCTGCTCGCGTATTTTGTTTCTTGTCACTGCAGAGGAACAAATCTTCGCATGGTTGTTTACCGCTGTGAGGTGTATAAGTGACATACTGGATTTATATTTGCAATCAAAGGTCAAAGTCTCAAACTAAAAAAATTCAGAAAATTGAGACCGTCCCTTATGGATGGCGTCCATCTCCATATTATATAGTGTTAACCTTTATTGGGTAGGATGTTACCAGATATGTACTGTAACAAGCCGATTTAATTAATAACGGGCGCAGAATTAGTTTTCGTTTGGAGTTGGACGTCCTTACAACAGTTCGGGTCCTTTGAGGATGACACCAAAGCACAGAGTAAAAAGGTCGACACGAAAGAAGTTAAAGTTTCAGTGCTTCAATAGGGACAAGTGAAGTTTTTGGTCTCTTCAAAGTTCCCTTGGTAGAAGCCACAGACGAAAATTCTCAGGGGAGCCTCTTCAGTCGCTTACCGTCTTCTGCTGAAAGGCCGAAGGGCCGTAATAGTTGTCGTTAAGCCTGTTAAATAAATCAGACATGCAAAAACGACATTTTTTTCATAAATGTCTGTAACACTCGCCATAGCTTGTAACTTGGAATCCCTACTTCAGATGTCATCACCCGGAAACTTAACCACGTGATGCGAGGCACCTACTGCTCACCGATATTAATCTTATTTGAAAAATGGCAATTAATGTGAATGATAGTATAATAGTATCTCTTTTTAGGGAAATTTGTCACCGATTAAAAAAAAACCCTGGAAGTAATTTACAGAATTTCATGGTTTACTTCACTGAGAAGTAAAAAAGTGCATTAATGATTTGCCTTTTTTGGTGATGATTTTTGGAAAGGTTTGATTTTAGAAACTAGATGAAAAGCAAAAAATCAGTATGTTGCCGCACGTCTTTTACAGATACAGGCGTCAGAATATGTGTTTAATTATTTATTTTCACAGGCTATTTTTATTGTCCTCTGAATAATAAGCCCATCTCAATTATTTTTTTGAAAAAATATAAATTTTCTTCTTTCGTTGCAAGGTGAGGATTAGATGCTTGGATACTAAAGAAAAAATAATGATGTGAAAATGGGAAGTTTTCATTTGATTTAACCGCTCAGCAACCGAAAAAAAGTATTCCTAATCCTTAAGTTAACCATCTGCTAGTAATAACCTTTTTATGACTTTTAGGTCGGATAGAGAAATTTTCTAGGATGCATTTTATGAAACAAAGAGAAGGTCTCCAAGGTAAGGAGACAAACTGATAGATTTGTTTTCGGATCCCAAAAATTCTGGAAAGTGGTTCTCGAAAGCGGAATTCACGAATTTGAAATAAATGATTTAGTTGAATGAGTTGAAAGATTTCTAGAAGTATACTTAACCTCAGCAAACAGAACATGGTTGACGCTAATTACCTAATAACGCCTTCAACTATTCCGCCAAACAAATAGTCCACAGACGAAAGAAGTAAGTTTAAATACTTAGTTACAGATAACAAAATGTATAAGAACGGAAACGTCCAAGATATTATATTGGAGTTAATTTTTTATTGAACTAGGTTCTGCTTCCTGTCAAACGTCAAAAGAGTGCATCCTGAAATTATATTTAACGGTTTGATACACACAGATCCAATGATTGGCCTGCACATAAACCGGGGCTGTGTTGTTGACCTACAAGTCTGAACTCAGTTTTCGTTCCCACCAGATCTTTCGAAAAAAAAACTTTTTCTTGTTCCTTGTGAATTTGGATTCTTCTGTTCTCTTATTCCTTCTGTGAAACTCCGTAAGGTGACTCCCTCTAGTAATCATACAGTGGAATATAGCATACCTTATTCCTTCTGTGAAACTCCGTAAGGTGACTCCCTCTAGTAATCATACAGTGGAATATAGCATACCTTATTCTTGGCTCTCCGTTGACTCCTGAACAGAAGGCTGTTTGGAAAAACCAAATCGAATCAGCAAAGGTTGTCCCACAATTAGATTTCCCCCGACTTCTCTACAGGTTCATTTGCCTTACAGGCTAGTAAAGAGTTTTATGGTATCAATCCTGAAACAGTTAACTGCAGTGAACGTAGACCCACACTACAAAAAGTGACATATCAGTGTAAAAATACTACATTATCTCTCACCAACGGAAAGTCATGTACTGAATCACCTGTAATGGCGGTGTTTTCTTCTAGCGTTTCCCAGGATCTACTCATGTTAAAAGACAGACGCGTTTATCGATTAACCTAAAGAGCACGTAGTCATGATAGATATAGGTACACTTAACCAAGGTGTAAACGACGTGTGTTAGGTAGAGATCCAAATTGACTTCCGGTCTGCTCCTCAGATTAGTGTCAAGAATACTGATTTTTTGTTTTTTGTTTTTTTGTTTGTTTGTTTGTGGTTTAGACGTCTTAACTCTGGAATATAAATGATGGGTTGAAATCATGAACTACTGTTGCAATGTAGTGGATTGTTTCTCTAAAGCAAAAAAAAAAAAAAACCAAAATAAATGTGACTGAAATACAGATAGCGTACTGTGGGTTGTGAAATGTAAATATATATACAACAGTACATTGTAACTATCTTTATAAATACAGTGTATCTCAATTATTCAAGAAGTAAATATCAAGCAGATGAAACAATTCGCATACTACATGACATACATGTGTGTGTTTGTACTGTACATACCGGAAGCCAGGTTCACCGACCTCATGACTGTACATTGCATCTGGCTCTTACTGGTTTCATGGCAAGGACTCGGATAATTTATGTATTCATACGTTTATTATGTAAACAAGATTGTCAAGTCAGATCCGGGATATGTCAGGAGATGAAACATATAATATGGTAATTGCTTTGTGATAATATATTGGTGTGGGAATGCGACATGCATATCGAAGCATATTGTCAATATGGATTAGACTTATCTAACGTCATGCACCAGCAAAGAAACTTAAGCTGTTCAATACACTGTATCGCACTCCCATACGCGAGACACAGATACTATTTACAGTCTATCATTTCTGTAAAGTGATGCTAGCTTGAGATAGTATTTCCTTTCAAAAATGAGGAAGTATTTTCATCTTAATTTGATAATTTTATTGTGACCGTTCATTTTCGACTGCATGGAACAAGTCACGTTCGTCTTGTTTAAGAAAAGTTGATAAAGGCCTTCCGGCTATGTACCGTCCCATTTCCATACACAGGTAAACATATTTTTTTGTAATGGAATAATATTTTTTTCACAACATGTCTACAGTTTTATCAGAGATGCATTTTTTTTTCAAATTAAAATCCAGATGACGACCTTTGCATATTATTGCTCTGGCAGTTGACATTTCACGTGTGCCGTGTTTTGAAACATTTCGAAGATGATAATGTAAACACGGATCCACCAGTATGACATTTAATCCCAGAAAAGATTCGTCAGTAATGCGTTATAGATAGAAATTTGCGGGTGTTCCTCAATAATTTTGCTCTTGTTCCACTTTTGTTTGTTTGTTTATTTTTTTTTTAATTTCAAACTTTTCAACTAGGTTGGTGTGATCAACGGCTTCTGAAGATCAGTCTTACGAAACTTTAATTTTTTTTATTCTCCGGACATCTGGGTGTGATAAATTCAACCCTCACCTGTAAAATTGACCAAACACTTTCATCAACATCCATGTCATTCCTGCTATGTTTCTCAGGTGCAACTGTAAATGGTAAGACCTCGTTCATCACGTAATCAAGATGTCAAATGCAAAACAGCGGTTTTAAAACAATTAAGATATAAAGCACGTGAAGGAAATCAAAAGACCATTTGTTCGTTGGTTGAAAAGAAGTTCTCATATCCCATATCTTATAGAAAATTATATGCGGCGTTTCGACTTCACCGTCGCCTTCATCAGACAAATGACTGGTAGTGCGGAGTTTATTTGCACTGCGGTATACAATCAGTCGGTTATAATCAGCAATTAGACCAGATGTACCTTTATTAGACAAAATATATACATCTTGTGTCTGGTGTTATGACTATGATGAAGTGATGTACATCCTGACTTGTGTCTCGACTGTCTCCTGTTGCCCCTTGTGTACGGTTGAAATAGTTCTGATGAACTGTCAAATATGCCTGTGGATGTGTTCAGATAAAAGCTGCTTTTGGCTTATTATTGCTTCTTTTGAGGCTTCACACATTGGAACAGGTGGAATGCCTTTAAGTTCTAGAAAGTAACTTCAAAATATTTACTTTCTATAGGGTTCAGTCCAGGTCCATTGTCCTCTCCGTTTGAATAGTGACTGTTTATCGTGAATGATATAACCTTGCTGATTACCAAAGGTCTCGATGTAGAAAGACGTAGTTGAAACGTTTGCCAAGCCTGTATAATTGACCATACAATTATTTAAGAATATTAATTAATTTTAACACATATTTTCTTCATTATTAAGTGTAATAACACCCATTGCATATTTTTTGTCATGACTCACGTGTAATATGACCTAGCGGACCTGTGATTGGCTGATGATTCCTATTGTTTCCATTGCGACCTCATAGTTTCATATGAACTGTGACGTCATCGAAGAAGGAGCCATAGATTGAGAGTATCGTTAGTTTAGATATTGTATCAGTCTGATAAAATATTTATGTCCTATGATAAACAGAATATTGCATTCGTTCCTATTCCATTCGAGATTTTTGAAACTGTCATAACTTCTGCTTTCTCCACAGTCTCAATGATATATACAATCCTAAGAACAGTTTAACAGATTTCATTTGAATGGAAAATCGTGTAAAATAATGTAAAATTGTAGTGATCTTGGAAGTAATTTATTTAGTGTAAGTGAATCGTCTACCTTCTATTTAATGATGATATAGAAAATAAATTCCATTTCCCAAATTTTCTTTTGAATTAAATAAGTGTTCTTTAACAACGGATTTACGTCAGTCTGCTTTTTGCCGACATTTTTGTGTGGAGTAATCCTGATCTTTCCATGAAAACGTGTTACTTATATATTTTTTGAACAGTGATGTATAAAAAAACATGTAAAAAAAATCAGCACGTTGAAATTAATGTAAAAATAAAAAAATGTAATAATTAAACAAAGGAGGAAGATGAGTTCGATCAGTGAAATTGACTATTAAGGAAACTAAGCATAGCATGAATACATACAACGGTGGTAGAGAAGTCCTGGATAATGTTGGAAGCGAGAGGGATATAACCATAGACAGGCATCTTACATTGAGAAGCATATACAAACTCAAGTAAATAAGGCAAACCAGACTGTTGGACTAATGAGACGTAGCTTTATATATTTGGACAACAGAACGTTCTGCTTATTATTCAAAGCTCTGTTAGGCCTTATATGGAATATGCAAGCTCTGTCTGGTCACCTTATCAGAAAAAGGATATGGAGGCAGTAGGAAATGTCCAAAGGCGAGCTACAAGGATGCTACCAATTATGAAAGACATGAGCTATGAACAACGTCTAAAACGGCTGAAGTTACCAACCCTCAGATTCAGACGAAAGACATGATCGAAGTCTTTAAAATTTTGAAAGGAAATTTATGATAAGAAAGTTACTTCTGATTTGTTGAAATTAAACATGTCCAGCAGCACAAGTGGAAACTGGTTAAAATTAGTGAAACAACATTGTACCAGAGACATCAGGGAATACAACTTTGCACAAAGAATAGTAGATACATGGAACAGTCTTCCTGAACAAGTAGTCACAGCCAGGACAATAAACCTTTTTCAAGAACAGAATTGACAAGCTCCGGGAAAACCACCCTCCACGGTTTGACTTCACAGCAAGCTATGGACCAGGTACCGGAAGGACGGCAATTCATTACGTGGTGTTTACGAACATTTCTGAGCTGCCTATAGAGGACCAGTAGGTCCTGCAGGCGGGAACAACATAAGTGAACATAAGTGAAAAAAGTGCAACGACGCAGACTTCTAATCACAATACACGATTTTGAACATGATGACGTAACACGTGTCTGTAAATAGCTACATTGGTGTGTTGGTTGGGTCATTCACGCACAATGCTATAATTAGTATCATGATAGCATTAAGCAGTGTTCATATGACGGCCAACGTTGATAAAAGCGCTCATTACATACATGTATTTAATAATAGTTTGGAAATTGTGGAATGTTAATCGAGTTTTCCATATTAGGTATTGGTTGGACTGTAAACAAATATAAATTAGATATTATCATCAACCTGATCTAATAGTTTTACATAAATTACATATTCACACCAGCCTGATGAAACAGTTTAGTTTATTGCTGGTTTACGTCCCATTAACAGCCCGGGACATTTAAGGCCGTGTCAGGTTTGGTTGGTTGAGAAAACCCGGAACCTGCGGTCGCTACCGGGTGACTGTCCCTCGTAGGCCTCAAACCCGCGACCCAGAGATGGAAGTCAGACGTCTTGACTTTCCGAGCACCGCGGCCCCTCCTGAAATGATACACAGTCAATGAGATGATGAATTTTACTTAATGGGTCGTTGATTGATATATTTTTGTGTTGTGTTTCAGATGGTCATCGTCGCAGGGTGAAGCGGACATCATGGTTTCTTGACCAGAGATAACTATGGCTAACAGATCGAGTCGGATTGTGGGCGGGGCAGGAGACGCTGGCGGAGGTGTCACTATGCTGCCATTTCCCGCCTTTTCTGACGTAATCTACACCACTATGGAAGGATTGAATATTACAAATGTCACCGATTCAGGAAATGCCACTAGAACGCGGAAAATGTTCTCCTTAGTGGAGCAGATTTTTTTTGGCACGTGGTTGTCAATATCTATGATTTTAGCTATATTTGGAAACTTGATGGTTATAGCAGTGGTTGTGAGGCATCGAGGCATGCGCACTAGGACCAATATGTTCCTTGTCAGTTTAGCAGTTGCAGATTTTCTCATTGGAATACTGCTTGCGCCGTTTTCATTAGCTACACTGATAGCTCAAGACTGGATACTAGGTCCAAGTTTATGTACTATCAACAGTTTTTTAAACGCCACTTGTTTTATAACATCTATACACACTCTCATGCATATAAGTATTCATAAGTATATGTCAATCACACGTCCTTTGACCCGGATCACCAAGTGTAAAATTCTCGTAATGATATTTGCGGCCTGGGGATGGGGCGTGGTGTGCGCTGCACTGACTACGGTTATACTCTCTCACGCCGAGTTTAAAGAAGGCACCATGCAATGTGGTCCTGCCTACCCTGTGTTAACCACAAAATCTCTTTTGTTCCATATTATAATTCAGACGTCGAATATATTTCTGCCACTATTTATCATGATATATGCATATTCTCGTATGTTCGGTGAAATACGAGAACACATGCAGAGAATGGACGAAAATACCGCTATGGATCGAGCCCAGATCTACAGCCAGCAACGCCGTGTCACAATAACATTGTTTATCGTCCTGGCCTGTTTTGTGCTGTGTTGGATACCCTACTGTGTTTATGCTAATTATGTAACCTTTGAACCTGACAAAACAAAGTTCCCGCCATACTTGAACGCTATTGTAAGTATAACTTTTGATACATTTTTCGCTTTCAAATCACCACATAATAAACCCGGATAAAACGACATAAAAACGAACACGACTTTACTCAAAAAGGTCTTTCTGTCGTCAAAATGCTACCACCGGAAACATTTCATTTTCCAACCAGGTGTTAAATTGGGCCTATTTGATATTCATTAGTTAGCCTGGTAGTTCAACTTAACATTGTTCCTAATATGTGAACGTGACCTTACCGATTTTTGGTTTGAGCAAGGTTTACATGGAGGGCGTCGTCGATAAAGCAGAAGACGTTTTCCTTTCCGGAGCACCTGTCTTACTCTGTCTATACATTTTTTTCTGGAATCTCAGTGTAATTATTTCACGTATGTTCATATTTTACACTAGTTAAATCGAATTCTAGTTTGAATGTGGATTCTGCTGACAATATTTTCCTTTTTGTTCATGACTTTTGTATAGAAAGTCATAGTTATGAAGATATTACTCTAACGATACCGCCCAGAACAGTGACAAATTGAATATGTTAAATGAAAAAAGAAATAGATATATGTCATTGATATTCTTTAATTAATTTTTATGATATCCGATTGACATTTACAAACATCTCAAACTACTCCTGGTTTAAGTTTGTTTATAACCTGGTTTGTTTTCGTAGTAGTGTTTCGGAATCTATGACCTAGTAAGTTTTTGTTACAGGCTTACTGTTTCTCGGGCTTATGACCTTATATAATTTTACTACGGGCCTGTTGTTTTGAATGTTTATGTCTCTGATTTGTTTTGCTATAGGCCTATTGTTTCGGGTACATGAACAGCGCGTGTAACCCGATCATTTATGCCTGGAGGAGTCCTTCATTCCGGGAGGGATACAAGGAAATTCTCTGTCAGGAACCGTCTTATGTAGTCAGCGATGGTAAGTGTACATTTTGTGAAAGTCCATATTCGGCTTGTTCAGCATATTCTTAAAAGGAGGTTGAAATAATACTGCTTTGTTTTTTAGCACAGGCTTCAGCAGAGACAGTAAAAGCACTGTTACTGTCATGAAGTTTAGAAACATGGCGAGGAATATTGTATATTATTGAATACTTGTTTTTGATTGGATAATACAATCTGGTAGAATTAATAAACGGTATTTCTTCACAGTTACGATATCCAGGAGGACACGGACGTGTTAAAATGGGATTGTCAGTATGGTTTGATATAGAATAGTTTCCCTTATCTTAATGATTGTATCAGTAACTCTATATTCCTTGATGATCACATTTCTGATATGTATATATATTGTTATCAAGATCTCTGTGATATACGGACAGAGGATAGTTATTTCCGTCCAGTTTGTCTTGTGCAAGTTTTAGTCAGTTTCGAGATGTGATACGTTTTCTGAAATGTCTGTTAGAAAAAAAATGTATTAAGTGTAAATATTCGGTGGTTTTTCACCCCAAGAATATTTATCTGTATTTTTCTCTATGCATTTGTACCATGCAATACATTTATTTAACATTTAATCTGAACTATATTTCTTGTGTCATAATACGTTCTTCCTGAAAACGAAATTCTCGCCGAAAGTGAATATTAAATATCTGTTTTGATACAGCAAGGTGCATTTTGCTGATCTGGCTTATTATTCCTTTGACATATCACACAGCGTTTAACAAATACGCATGTGCTTTACCCAAAGACCACCACTTGGCAGAACTGGCATTTTCCCAATGTTGATATACTGTAACTGCTTATGTTTCTTATAAAGCAACTGCCATATTCTTCAATCTGTCACGAAATAGGTTTATGGTCTTTCTCCGGTGTTAGACAATCAAACAATTTTGGGAAAAGATACCTCAATGTCAAGCGTCAACAGTACTCATATTTAATGTCAAACGTCAGCTGTACTCATATTTAATGTCAAACGTCAACAGTACTCAGATATAATGTCAAACGTCAACAGTACTTAGATTTCGTGTCAAACGTCAACGGTACTCAGATATAATGTCAAACGTCAGCAGTACTCATATGTAATGTCAAACTTAAACAGTACTTATATTTCGTGTCAAACGTCAACATTAATCTTATTTAATGTCAAACGTCAACAGGTTTATAATCAATGTCAAACGTCAATAGTACTCATAATCAATGTCAAGCGTGAAGAGTACTCAGATTTAATGTCAAACGTCAACGATACTCGGATCTAATGTCAACCGTCAACAGTACTCATTGTTAATGTTTCATATCTTTTTGAAAATCAGGAAAAATAAAATCATGGTGGTTTGAGAAGTAAACGATTTTTCTTCAGTGTATTAACATTAAGTTTTGAAAGGTTGTTTACTGACGTCATCGACGACATCATGCATAGAGACTACTTTTCTAATTGTCAAAGCTATTAGATTATTTCCCTGAATAAAAAAGTGATTTTCATTTTATGTTAAACTTCCATCTCACAACATTTCCTTGCGAATTGAATGAGGTTTAGTTTTGAATTCTGTTTTTTTTTTTTTTTTTTGGTTTTTGGTTTGCAAGTAACATGTCTATTTGTCGCTATATTAACCCGGATGTTATGATGTCTTTTGATTTTCCAGACAAGACGCGTCATGTTTGAAGGTCCAAAATAGGGTATCAATACTTCTGACGTTACCAAATTTGCTTTTACATGTCGTTCATATCATCATTACGTTTTGTTAATAGTCTGCGCCAGAAATTCAAGACAAAATATTCTAAATTTCAAGGCGATTTTTTTCACATGTCAAATTTTGATACAACTCTATTTCAATATCCCTTAGTTTGTTTTTTGCGTTTCGTGGTTATTGAAACCGCCAATGTGTAAAAAAAAAACCAAACAAAAAAAAAAACAAAAAAAAAAAAAAAAAAAAAAAAAGAAAACAAAAAAATGAATATCTTGGTCATCATAACTTCTGGCATATTCCTTAAGCTTCAAATTTAAGGAGTAAACGGTTTTAAATAAGCACAAAATTAACCCAAGAAACAAGAGACCTGCTTAGTAAACAGGTATTTGAGTAGTGTCTTTTAACGAAAGCTGTTTTCTTGTTTTCGTTGAACAGAACATTTTTTTTTAAACTCAAGTTTCCACTGTAAGTTTGCGGTTGATCCAGGCATATTTCTGGTGCAGACTGTCATGCACCTTCGTTAAAAGCTTAACGTTTTGGTGTGCATTTTTTTTTTATTTTCGATGTGTCCCCAGGAAGGATCTCCCGATCGGAGATGTCAACCATGACACTGTTGCGAGTTCTGAGGGACTGTTGACCCTCAGCTTTCATTGATGTATGTTATTTTGAGCACCCTGCACTGCGCACTTTCAACTTCCGCTTCAATAATACATTTATCAATTTACAAATTGCTTTTAATATCCTGTATTATAGTTATACCGTAGTTCCACCAGACTTCGACACTACCCTCCATAATCACAGTTCTGATATGGAGGGTAATGAGTATAATTATTTTAATCATTGTATTTTATCTTTATCAGTGCAAAACTATATTTTCAATTTTTATCTGCCTTATTTGACCTTGGTGTTATAATTGAAATTATCTGTATTCATGAATTTATTCATTTCAAACTTTTGGAAGCAAAACCGTTTGTCGCTTTGTAAATCGTTGTATTGGTAGATAAGCTTGTTTGTTCTCTTGAACATGCTGCATTGAACCGATATTACGGAGTAAGATTTCACACTAAATCTTATTTTGTGTTTCGGTTGTTTTATTGAATTAATGCATTGCACTTGGAAACGAAAATTCCTGTAATGTTAATCAAAGCCACAATAAATTGTATATAAATCGTAATAATCCACTTACGATGGGTCTACATGATATGACTTATCGTGTAATAGTCGGTAGGTGACATATTATGTTCTTTATAGTTTCTGGTAATTGATAAATAAAAACATATCCAAAAATTCGAATTAAAAACTAAAAACATACAATTTCATATTATGGCTATAATCTTATTTTTGCGCTTTTCGCACTGAAGGTGTTTCACTTTATAATGAAGACGATGATTATATCTATTACCCATTTGTTAAGTTTGTGTTTGTAAATTTTGTGGATTTGTTATTTGTCATTTATCGGAAAAAAAAGCACTCAAAATCTAAGAATTTCGCAGCATCACTATTATTGTAACCCTTATTGTGATAAATTATTATTGTAATAATTGTTTCTTTAAGGTTAAGTTTATTGTAACATTTATTGTATGTCCAGTAGGCGTTCGTACTGTGATTATTGTCAGCGTATTACAATAAGCACAGCCTTAATGTTTTAAATTATCACCATAAGCAACTCATTAGAATCAGGAATGCACCATACACAAATGGACCTTTTGGCCTCTGAGTTATTATTTCCCAGTGTTTCAATGCTATAGAAATAATACTATCACTGCTAGACATAGTAACGACTAATTCTGTTGATACTTTTGGGTGTCTTGATTTATTGAAGCACGCGAATCAACACAATACAGTAATGACAAATGGCTTTCTAAAAGAAACTACAGGAACTTTTAGCGAGAAGTTTGCTTTATGAAGTAGATATTAAAACTAGTTATCATTACAAACGGCACGCGCATTAAACTCGAGAATACAAAACAAATATAGCGTCAAAAGAAAATCGATTAATGTAATTGACAATCATCAGTATTTAGTCTTTGTTTTAATATTTAGGTTTCATATTTACGTGTAAATACGTGTTGTTTACTTACGAATTGTCTTTGTTCTTGCAGTCTTTATGGTTGTTAGTTGCTAATGACAGTTTTGTTATCATCACTTTACAACAACGTCGGTCCCTTGTTTTCTCATCTTACCTCGTCTGATTCACAAATTAGATTTTCTCAGGTTGAGTCACGAAAACTTTTCCCCAGACAACAACCTAAATTGAAACCAGTGCCAGACTCTAGGTGATATTGATGTCACAAAAAATGCGATCTTTTCTCCCTCCGGAACCGGGAAATAAAAAAATCTAAATAGCCTGTCGAACCATTTACTCATCAATCGCCATAGTCGGAACTATTTGTTGGTCTGTACGTGTGAATACCAATGACAGGGTTTCGTTCAGGCCTCTTTAAATTGACTTTAAGATTATTGCAATGAAGTTTGGATAATTGAATAAAGAGATTTTTGACCTACTGTCGTTTCTACGGGCCCCATAGAGATTTTGTTCTAATTTCAAGTCTATGAGGAACCAAAACGTGTTTTGATTTGTTTTTTCTGTCTGTTGGTTTTGAAAAGATAATTTGGTGTCACGGAGAAACATCACCTAATATTAAAATCACAAGTATCTTTTTCCTGTACAAATAGTGCGCTTTTTAGATTGAGTTAGCATTTCGATAGAATTTTATCAATTTGAGTTTTATAAGTAAATAGATAATGAAATATAAAAATCGAGCGAAATTGCAGACATATACTTTAATTTTAAATGTAAACAAGATGTTTTGACATGTTATCTCGTCACAATAGGTCCAATGGGTGCTGTCATTATAACTACTCGGAAGTACTCGGCAGTTTCTAATAGCGTCTATGAAACAAACAGAACGGATGGCTTACGGTAACTTAGCGACCAAATATCCCGTATATAGTTACGAGGAAAAGGTTGGACGTCAACTGATTATAGTAGCAATACTAAAACATCTATTTTTACGGTTTTTCTTGTTCGCATCTTAAAAAAACATCTTTTTGAAGAAATCGGAAAGACAGATTTTCAAATGGTTCGTTACCAGAGGTTTAATAATTGTAATGAGGCAAATTGTTTTAGAACATATATCTAGTATTCATTTCGTATGATCTGTCATTTGGTTTTTGCTTTTCAATTTACGCTTCCTTTATTTTTGCTTTTACCTCATCATTACATATGGTTTTTGTTTTACCGATGAATTCCAATTTGCTGTGGTGTTCAGACGTATGATGATCTGCCATCATTAAT